GCATGGAATCAATGAGTCATTTTTCAGTGCTTTGACTTGTACTGGCATGGAATCGATGAGTCATTTTTCAGTACTTTGACTTGTTCTGGCATGGAATCGATGAGTCATTTTTCAGTACTTTGATTTGTTCTGGCATGGAATCGATGAATTCTGTAAGTTTCTCCTGTAGGGTCTTGACCCAGGCTGCACTCAAAACATCAAGTATCTCTCCACGGGACGCTGGTTTTCTGCAACTTCTTCTCAATGCTCGAGCAAGTATGGCCCAGACATGCTCGATGGGGTTCGTATCAGGTGACTGTCTTGGCCATGGGAGCCATTGGATGCCTTTCTTAATTAAATGACTCTTGAATAAACATCATGGTGTCTATTTACTTTTGAGATGTCTCTGTACACTCAAGTGATGACAAACTGAATATTAGACTTATTACTGTAGCTTTCAAATTACAAATTTAAAATCTGCTTCACAGGTAAAAACTGCCATTATTAATTAGAACACACAGAATCAGATATTTGAAAGTCTGGTACAAAATTACAAGACCTCTTTATTTTTTAGCATTTCATCAATAAAAGACAGATACTTTTGCAGAAGTTGTCATCAATCATTCGATTACCCTAAACGAAGGTGTAAGTTAGTCTCACGGAAAAGTAGGAGTTATATAAAAAAGGAAGTAAACGAAGGTGTAAGTTAGTCTCACTGAAAAAGTAGGAATTATATAAAAAGGAAGTAAATTAAAAGGACTCAAAAGTAGGAGTTATATAAAAATAAATATGTTAACTAATTATTATGTGAAGAAACGAAAAATTGCATAATTGATAATTTTTCTAAGCATGTATCTTTTGCAAATTTGATAACTATAAGAATCGTGCATAAATATGAAATTGTCATTTTTTTATATATTAAACAAATTGTTTAGTTAATACACTACTGTAACATTAAATCAGTTAGGGTAGTGTTGACTAAAGCTTTGGAAAGCTGGTGACCCTTTATATATTACAACTGTTTTAGATCAAACAAGACCTTGCTAACAATGGAATTCGGACTTACCCTATGAAAGAACTTGAAGAAGACCCAGAGGAGACAGTGTCAAATAATAAAATCAGAGTAAGAAACGTTATTAGTACATAAGCAGTCTAGATTATTTTAATTTAAATCAGTTTAGACCATTCCAATGTCAAATAATAAGTTACAAATTAAGGGTAATTTTTTTGGGGGGGGGTTGAGATTGATGGATTTTGAAATTTGCAGGAATGCTTCATTAAGGAATAGTTTGGAAGTTTTCTAAATTTGTAACTGAATTGATTTTAACTACCAGTTAATGGAACAAGTGTAAAAAATTCCATTTTCTGTAACTAAAAATTGGTTTGATTCGAAAGTACACTATTTTGTTAAGATTGTTTGGTTTTGGTTTTTTTATATGATAATACATATTTCGATAAGAAAAATCTTTTTTTTTTTGTAATTAAGAAAAGCATGCATGGGTGTGACTTTTTCTAACCAGATATAATTACTTTTTATTGTACAGCAATTATGAATACTGGTTAAAGTGGTTAAATGTAATGAATAAAAACCATTTTGGTACAAATGTCAACATGCAGTCATTTTCGAGTGCTTGAAGAGAGAAAATTTGTCACATAAATTTTGTAGTTCAAACTACTTTCTTTACATAATGTTCCCCTTAGTTTAATTAAGGAAAAGTTAAGCAGTAGTTGAGTCAAATTGGCAAGTGCCCAAATCTTAATTTTACTGGACCACAACTGAACATTACTTCCACAAATTGTCTTATCTTTGTGCACTTCCTTTTTTATAACTCCTACTTTTCAGTGAGACTAACTTACACCTTTGTTTACTTCCTTTTTTATAACTCCTACTTTTTAGTCAGACTAAATTATACCAACTGTTATCACAAGAAAAGACATATGATAAAACATATATATATATATATATATACAATGTTACACCATGGTTAGCAGAAAAATAACATTAGAAATACAATTTCAATCAGTTCACAAAAATTGTTCTTTTATTTGCAGATTTCAACAAAACACAACATTTCTAACAATTGTTTATTTATAGCTTGTCATTTATAAAGATCTGTTAACTCTTCTTGTAAGTTAGCATGATCTACAAAATTATAATGGAAATGAATAAAAATCTTATAACCCGAACACTTTTGAAAAGTGGACCTTTCTTCTTCAGGGGGCAAACTTACATGACACAGATCTATAAATTAAAGATTATATTTTAAGGGAACATTACTTACTTTCCAAAAGAACCATATGCTTATTTTTCAAAGTCTATATGATTTTTTTTATTATAATGCACTTATTTTAATACATTTTCACATCTATCACAATTGTGTTGAAATCAGCTCATCTAATGTAGCTACACTTTTTACTAATAATTATTATGTTGTGTTGAAATCAGCTCAACTAATGTAGATACACTTTTTACTAATAATTACTATGTTGTGTTGAAATCAGCTCAACTAATGTAGATACACTTTTTACTAATAATTACTACGTTGTGTTGAAATAAGCTCAACTAATGTAGCTACACTTTTTACTAATAATTACTATGTTGTGTTGAAATAAGCTCAACTAATGTAGCTACACTTTTTACTAATAATTACTATTGTGTTTTATGCACTTTTTTGTTTATATGTTTCATAATTTTGTTTCTGACAAATTTTTAGTGAAATATCCTACTTTTTCGCAACCGCGGGTCTTAAAACAGAAATACGCGTTTTTTTCATCGGTCAGAAACTAATATGAGCGTCATATTTTATAGTCGTAACATCATACAAACTTACATATAAGGATTTTTATTTTTAAAAGTTGTTTATCATAATTTTTGCTTTGTTTGAAAACTATTTGCTTCTAAGACGATTCTAGGAAGTCACAGGTGTTTTCTAGGAATGTAGTTTAGTCTGTGAGATTAATGATGACATTTTTCACAGGCTTTCACCACTCGATATAGAATTTATGAGAAGATTAGACAGGTGTGTGAATATTGTGCCAGTCATAGCTAAGGCTGATACTCTGACTGTTGAAGAAAGAACTGATTTCAAACAAAGGGTAATGTTTTGTGATATTTGACATATAATTGAGTTTAAGACACTTTATATTTAAAAAAGAAGTAATGGTTAAGTTGAATCTTTTATTCAAGAAGATGCTTTTATTACAGAGCTACAAAGAAAACATAGTAATTATTAGTAAAAAGTGT